ATACATAATACTTTCAAATTGAGGTTAGTAAATAATATTTAATAGTAATACTGTGTCGTATAGTTTTATTGGCTACACATAAAATGGCGGGACAGAAAGAGACAGACTCACATCAGGGTTAGACCTGTGATTCAACTTTGATGGCTAAGAGGTATTTTTCTTCATTTTCCAGTGTGCCGAGCACCGGCGGCGCTTTCTTAGGTTAGTCTCACAAAATCTTGTCCGACATTGGCCTGCACTTTTATAAAAACGGCGTATCAATCAATCAGCAGCGCCGGAGAGGCGGTAAACTGTGTACATCAAACTTATACTATACATAGGTACTTGATAAATAAACATACATGTTTCATGTTCGAACTTCTCACACGCACAGCACACGCACACGCTTTGTGCTATATATGATATTATATTATATTAAGCTCGACAGAGACAGACATGTACAGGCACATACAGATAGATAGAGAGAGAGAGATAGAGAGAGAGAGAGAGAGTGAGATAGAGATGGTGAATAGTTTTGTGAGAAGTTCGCGAAACGTGTGTACAGTAAAGGGGAGGGGGAGCATTGCAAGGGATTGTCGGAGCTAATACGCGAAGACTTATACACGGTCGTTGAACGTGTGGAGAAGTTCGGCAGTAATACTTAACGCCCAGGTGCTCACGTACGCAGGCGCATCACCGTTCACCGCACACCAAACTTCGAAGTTGATTAATTTGGAAGGGTCTTCGTGGACAATAATTGTACGGGTGACACCTTAAGTTCGTCGTTGACGGCAGCGACGACGGTGATTATGAAGATGTGTCGCGGTAGCCATCCTACAGCACTCCACGCGAGATGAAACGTCTTTGGACACTGCAGGAGCGATCGGGCTGCGCTGATGTCGAAATTCTAAATAGCTATCTACGCCGTGATACCTACTGAATTCGATACTATCGTCAAATAATCGAACACCCTTAAACAGTTTATTACCTACGGCCCTAAGTGTGAAATTGTGAACGAGCCCCATGATGTATATATAATATATATATAAATTAAACGATTATATTTAAATAGAGCTTAAAAGAGTATTTAGAACATTGCAAAAACGTCTTCCCGAAACTAACGAATGTTGGTAATATTGAATGGATTTATGCCAATCAATCCATCTTCAAAATAATCCGAAGAATTTTCTTGTATTTCCAGAAAAGTATGTTCTCCTTAGCTGATGGTTGTAAGCTTTTAAATATTTCAAAAGAATTTGATTTAGATAAATCACTTTATGGGCCACCCGAGTGGATATCAGAGTACCCAAAAATGGTCAAAAACTACGTTTGTTATGATGTAGTTATTTGCAGTTTTTAATATCTTGTTTTACTCGAAAACTACTGAGAAATTCAAAAGGGTACTACTTCAAAGAAAGAACTGCTTCCAACATAGATCGATACCGTTATCAAACTTTTTTTTTATTGACCAAAAAGTGTTCAACAAATTTAAGAATTTCGTTCAACACAATAGTTATTTCAAAACCATTACATTACTTGATGTACTACGAATTCATAACATTATTTTTTTTTGTATAATTACTTTACTTAAATTTATTATTTTTACTCATTGCTCGTTAGCATAATTATCTATTGTTATAATTTGTGGTTAACAATAACAGCATATTTTAGAATTTGAGAAATAAATTATTTTTATGGTAAATATTTATGAAAACAAAAGTTATCATAATTGTATAAAACATAATGATCACCACACGCCATTCGATGATGAATTGATGGTCGTAAGAACACCATGGTGTTTAATAGATTGATTATTTTACCAAATGTTTGGTTTTTTTTTAACTTTATTTAAGTAAAGTTTTGACCGTGTTTTACAACCGACTGGCTAGTTGGCCGTTGCTGTTTTGCGTTTACAAAATCATCTGACCGTTTTCCGCTCGTTACCATTAAATTAATTGAATGTTTACTTGCATTCAACACGCACAAATCTGCAAATCACGCGTTAAATAATGCCACGTATAGACATATGGCAACCGACTGCGTGGATGGAAATGCAGACGTAAGCGGTGGATATAGTGCCACACCAGCTTAAAACAAATAATTTAATAATAACAATACAGTGTATGAGACATACATTCTCGACAAAGGCTCGTCGATCCGAGTAAACAGCTGTGGTGTGCAGATAATATCGCCGATTACAATCAGGGCCACTGATTGATTCCAGCACGACCGCTTTTTACACTCTTGAATTTTCAAGTCTAAAACCCTCCGGTATTGAATTTGTCGTAAAAAACTATGTCTCTAGCATTACGATATCATATTAACACGATTTATGTATTACATACACGGTGGTACGTGCTTTTTTTTCTATGTATTGTTAAGCAGGTGAATTTTTTGTATACATTTTGTTGTATCTAAAGGTCCAATTATATTCTGTATTTAACTGTCAGCGTGTCCTCGTAGACCTTGATGTGGTCCGTGTTTGGGATTTTTCTTATTAATCTTGAGATCGAAATATACAATTGTATGTAGGAAAAATTATTTAACTAGTCAATATAATAACCACTTAACTACGCGGTCCGATGATAGTTGAATATTTTCAATTATTAGGTATATTATGGTAGCGTGTTAACCATACGGCTTATTCAAAACGAACGGGGATCGTGAAATAGTTCCTTGAATCGAAATTCGAATTAAATTAAATTAAATCCTTGTTAATGGGATAAGAACTATAATGCCGTAGACCTATAAACCATGACATAGAATTAAAATATATTCAAGTAACTATTACTGGGACAATTTTTGCAAACTACTGCTAATATCGATGACGACAATTTTTACAATATACAAATACAAATATTTAAAAAAAATGTAATTAAAATTTGATGCACGTTGACCTCCATTCCTACGGTTGAACATTCTCAGAGAATAATCTTGCACACATTACTATAATGGAATTTTTTCCGTAGTCCCGGACAAGACCTGCGGATAATAATAAATTATCTACAGAAATTTACTAAGTGCTTACAGAAACTTTGTCGTTTATTTTCATTTTTCATATTTTTTCTCCACCAAGTACACAGGTACGTATCAGTGACACAACAGGTACGTGCATAATATATGCATCGTAATGGCAGACCATCGATGTACTTATTATTATTTCGGTGAGAAACGATAACATAATATTAGCAAATATATATTTATATAATATATCCATCCGTATGTCGATCTATAATCTGACCGGAAACGTCCGCACAGGATCCGGTGGGCTTAAGATGTGCTCACACTTACTATCCGTGCCGGTGCATTAACTCGTCGACTTCTCCTCATCGCCGACGCGTATAACGTGTATTTATAGAATATATATATATTGTGTGTACTATACATGTATGTATCAGACACTCCATTGAAACGTGCCATTTACAAATGCTAAACCAGTCGGTGCTGCAGAAGTTTGTTTTGCTTAATGTTTACCGACCGGAAGTCCGGGGCTTATGTTTCGCAATACGAAATGCCCGCCCCCGTCGTTTGGCAGCGGCCCTTGTGAGCCATGAGACGGTTGAGGGAGGGGGGGATCAGAAACTGGCGTGTCTATTATAAACGCGCCGAACTTTCGCTCCCGCGCTGACACTCCATTATGACCAAAACTTTACCACCGCCTATAATACGCAGCGTACTGCTTTCACGCGCGTTTATATAATATTCATATAAATATATATAGATGTACGGCTCGTGGTAAAGCGCAATGCAACCAAATATTTATTTTATTTTTTTCCCTCAAAAGCTCAAAGTAGCTAAAACACGTCACTGACAAGTGCATAATCATAGTGGCATAGTGGTGTTAGCGTGAGGGGGGGGGGGTAGCCACTCTTTAACAACCTCCCCACAAGACATTATGAATCCTATTAACAATTTTCAAAAGTTGTATAATATTGATTTTTATGTCTGTATAATATTAAAGTGAACATAGTGTTATGAATATTATGAGTAGGTAACTATTTCCATTTGTATATATTTTAGTAAATAATTTTGATGTATAAAATCTAAATATTATTTTATTTAAATCATATTATTGACACGGTCAAACTTGTATGTGTGTGCATCTCTTGACTATCCATGTTGTATGTCGAGAAAATCTCTAGATAAATAAGCTTCACAGTCCAAATAACTAGAATTTATTAGTTTATAATTAAATAATTTGTATTAGGGTTGTTTTTCTCAGTGATTTTTATAAACTAATAAATAATAAAAACATTTTAAAGATACGCCTTGATGTATATTTTTATATATTATACATGATTCTATAACATTTGTGTACATTTAAATGTCTTAAATTTATTTTATAATACTCCCCTTGGCCCTTCACATGTATGTATATATAGAAGCATATGTTACGGGCAATGCAAACCACGAATTTTTTTTTAACCAACTAATATTGTTTTTTATTATTATTACCTAGTATCAACTTTATTCATGTATCAAAATCTAATAAACTATTAATTTTTTGAAACACTGTGTATAAACTTATTTTTGTTCCTTATCACACAGCCTAGGTATTTAAAAATCAAGTGTAGAAAAGCAAACAGACTATGTAATTCCAAGTGCCATGCTTCTAAATCTTGTTCAAATAAATATATAATAATAAAATTATAATTTATTATAAAAATGAAATGATGATCCTTGTTAATTTTTGTTTGTTATTCCATCAAAATATTTGTAATATTATGGTACATGAATTAAATTAATTATAATAAAAAATAATATTAATTGGTTAAAAAAAAATGTGTGGTTTACATTGCCCGGGCAGGACCACATTAACCGGGCAATGTACACATTTCCCGGTATTCCACATTACCCGTTAATATATATACCAGGTATATTATACCTAAATACAACTCTGGTCTCTGCAAAATGTCTGCTGTTGGACACACGTTGTTAGATTTTTTTAAATATATACACAAAACAATTTACATTGCTTTTAATGTACATTTTATTAATCAAGTTGGGTTTTTGTTTTTCAGAAAGTGTAGTTAACTATGTGGCACCTAGGGCCGACACCGAATTCGAAGACGTCAGCTACGATGGAGACCTGGCACGGTCACTCATGACAGGTGGTCTGGGAATGCTAACGGACAGCTTGTACGGAGCAGACGATTTCTTGCAGTTCGATTTGCAATTCCATAAGCCTCTCAGTGAGTATTATTCATATTTTCTTCAAAATAGTACACTCGTTCCTATTTCATTGATTCGAAACCAATTAACGTATTTTTTAAGCATATTAGATTTCAATGTCTGTGGAATCGATATGTTTTTGGCATACCTACGAGAAACACTTATTTCTCCCAAATGTATTCACTTTGAGCAGATCTTATAGCTTTTGAGAGAAATAATTTGGTTTATATAATATATTATAACAAACAATAATGTATCAATACCTCAATTATGGTATATATGTTCGAATGTACTATCAAATAAAGAAAGAAAAATGACAACTTTTACACACGATTGGCTAATATTAACATTGTAGAGATAAAAATATACTGATTGTCTAGGTTTCAATATTTTGCGGTATATATTTTATTTTTCATATTGTGTATAACATGAATCTGTAAGACGATAATGTTTTTGCATCATAAATATAATAATATTAATAATATTGCCATAAAAGTTTGTTTGTTGATAAATAAGTAATTGGTAAACATCTTTGAACGTTTTTATCGAATATTTATTAAAAAAAAAAAAAAAAATGGTTGTTAAAGCTTGGGATTTTAGTTTCAAAATATGGTTTTTACAACATTATAGCAACCTGATTTAATTTTCACCCGGACGGCAGAAAATAATGCATTGAATATTACATTAATTTCATGTTTTACTGGCGCTAGATCTGTTCTGTAAATTTATCTTTTTAATATTATTTTTACGGTATAATACTTTTACATTATAATAGCTGTAGAAGTAACGGAGAATTATGGAGAATCGTTATGAATCGTGGCCATATTAAAATCGGGGCATGTACCTACCTATAACAATATCATGTATAAGCCACCGAGGCGTGGACACGATAATATTATAAAATATGTGTACGTGCCATTATTATACAACAAATAACAATAATAATAATGTATTCGTGCGGCGGACTTAATATATATTTATTGTATATTCTATTCGAACCGTCGAGACGACCGATTCTTTCAAACCCCGCTGACGTTATGATAATATAGTGAAAAATAATAATAATGGCGCAAACTACACACCACAAAAGCGGCAATATGCATAATAATAATTATATAACTCGTTCGGAAGAGTCGTACGCGTAGGCAGAAATAAAGGGGAGGGTTTTATGGCTAAGCCTCCCCCTCACAAACATATTTCCCCACTACCATCATTTTTTTTTTAAAGCTTATTCAATATTACTATATGGATAGGATTTCAGCCCTCTCACAAATCTCAAAAAAGCCGTTTGTGCCTGTATCATGGTTGAGCGTCGAATTAGAAATTCTCGTTCGGCAGTCGGCGCCGCCGCCGCCTCCGAGAAACGCATTTTAAGGTTAAATCTTATTAACTCGGCTCGTGGCAGAGACGAACGTCGCGAAATTATTTAGACGGTTTCCATGTACGAGTTGTACACATAATATATGTATGATATTATTATAAACATAAACACACTCAAAGGCAAAAAGCCGTGCCCGCCACTGGCGCCCGACTCCTGGTATAAATCAGCGGGCAGACTGCAGTAACCGCATGGAGGCTAAACCGGCGGCGATGACTACCGCGTTATTATTTCCGAACGCCGTACCCTCCACCGCCTCCACAGCCGCTTTGTACGTACTCTACACATTATTATTATTGTTGTTGTTGTTGTATTCGAGCAAGAAATGTCTGTCGAGAAGTTTCCGGGGCCGAACGTACAGTATATATATATCTGTGTCATTTCATAACGTAGAAAAACGTCGCGGTCTTTTGCAGGCTCTGAGTGTATTACTCCGGGGTCCGTATGTATAGTGGGGTCTCGGAGCCGCTGGAATTAAGGATAATTGGCCGAAGGTCACTGACGGAAGGAAGAGTAAAAAGAAAACGTTTCTCTAAAGTATATTCTGAGGTTATTATTTAAATAATATATTACAATAAGTATACCGTCACATAATATCGTATCAGCGCCTTTGCATTAAAAGGATCCAAATACCGCACAGGAGATTCTGTTATTACGTGTTCGGCTCGATATATCAACGATAATAATATGCAGTAATGTCGTAGTCAGCCTAGTCGGGGAGACCTAATATCATGACATTATTTATCTGCAGAGAAGACATTTTATTCCATTTGGATAAGTTAACTGTCGCAGGGGCTTGAGCACTGCTGTTAATTGCAAGAGATTCTCTTAGATAAAAATGCAAGTTCAGTTTGTAGCTCTACTATATTACTTACGTATATAAAGCCATGAACTGTATGATTTAAAGATTGTTGTTAGTAAATGTTTTTTGGAGTTCGCTCATGTTAATAGTGTTTATATCAAACCAACTATTTGAGAGTCAACTTATTGATTTTTACAAAGTCAAAAAGTGTCAAGTATGTATAGTTTATGATGGTAAATTCTATAGTGAGTATACTTTACATTGTACATATTTTAGTGTCTAATTTCTGTATAGAATAATATAGCATATAACGTATAATATTATTACAATGTCATTCTTTCGAAGACTGCACAGTGAATAAAATAAATTGTTACGGCTTATATGGTCCAACGTCGAGAAACGTTGAGGTATTATTCAAAATAAAAGTTAGCCGGAAATTATGACAATGTATTCAATCCAGAACACATAATAATATATTAATACATGAAAGGCTTAAACAACAATCACTGAAGGAGATAACATGTCAGAATTAAAGTCCAAGGGCGGAGTATATTATATATGACTTAAGTCATGACACAACCAGAGAAAAATAAAAGGACAAATAAAGGAACTGACCGAACCTAACTCTGAGTCATGAGGCGTGATAAAACAAACTCATCTAAAGATTATTAACAAAAAGCAAAAATTATTTCCTTAAATTGACCGACTCAAGTCAAGGTTACGTTCATGAACTTTCTCACATATTACCGTCGATATATTGAATCAACGCAGAACTGGTGTGAAATATTTGAGTACGAAATTGATCAGAATGTGCGTTTAAAATGTATAAATGTGTACCTACAATCATTTTTCGGACAAAATTGAATTAACAAAGAAGTAGTTATTTTTATTGTTGCACTATAATAATGTTATATATCTATATAATTATATATTATAATTGATTATAATTCAACTGTAAATCTTCATACAATTGAATCATTTAAACATACAATAACACTTCGTAATTTATTTTTATTTGTTTGTTTGCCTTCGAAACTATTTTTAAAAACACTCCTGGATCAATCATAGCACAATTTAATAAATAAAATGAAACTTGATTCGCATTTTAAACGTATATAATTTTAGGAGTTTGGCTTTTGAATAAAGATAAAAATAAGTATGCATGTATTAAAACAGATAGTTCGAACAGTATAAAAACATTTTCCGATATTTTCATTGAACAAATTTGAAAAATTCGCTTTCAGGTTGCAGGTATACACGATTATACATATAATAACTGTATGTAGTATTATAGAATTATTATTATTTCGCTCTTGGTAAATGATAGGACGTCCGTTCAACCATTCAGATTTGTATAAGGCCTTTGTGCGGTAAGCGTTCGTTATTTCAGTTGTGGTCAAGACGAAAAATAAATATATACACAAAAATAAAACGTTTATAATATTATATTTGTTATTTCTTTGTCCCTTTGCAATATTTCTTACGGGCCCTTGAATACGTTTAAAGATCGTCCCGAAAAATATGTTATGGGCCATTATAATAATAACATGTGTACTGCGCATAATTGTCTTTGTATTTTGCTACGATTGAATGTATAATTCTTATTGTAGGCAAGAGATGGGTCGGTTGGTCAAACGATTCAATCGGCAATAAGTTGGATTTGGTGTTTGAGTTCAACGGATTCCGCATGTTCAAAGAAGTGAAAATCCACAGCAGCCATATACCGACCAGAGACGTAAAGGTGAGTCCCACAGTACTGACTATTTAATATTATATTATATTTTTTACACTTTTTTTTAACTTTGAGAAAAATAATATTTTAACGAGTCCTGATATTGTATGATAGTATATAACGTTGAATGGCACCTGACTATCTTTTTGAAAATAACCGTACAGCGGATATTTGAACGGAGAAAACCCGAAGTGCCTAGGCAGAAGTGTTTAAAGAAGGTATTTTATCATCATGTATTATCACAACTCACTCACGAGTATACATAAAATCGAAGGAAAAAATTAAAAACCACTAGTATAACTAACTACCTATATAACGTACTACTTAGGTCCATGGTGGATCATATTCGTAATAACTAATAATATTATTAACATATTATCTTATTCAATAATTATCCGCTGTGTTTGAAATACAATTTTTGGCGGGACCAGGATCCTCCGAGAAAAAGTAAATCAAGAAATATACATTTTACATTTATTATACAATAGACGTTTCGTGTAACTTACGACTGTCGAATTATTGGGCTGGACAGACTTTTCCACTGTTAGATCACATCCATCCTGCCATGAAGTGCTATTAATGAATAGTCTCTTCAACAAGTCAACCATGTCCAATTACCAATATATACTATCATTATCTCCATTGTACTTATTGTAAATATTTTTTTTATACAGATTGTACAAATAAAAATAAATATGACAAAAAAAAAAAAAGATCACATAACCTATACATAAATGTACATAAAACCGAACATCATTTTGGTCGTGAACATTTTCCTGTTTTTCATTATTCAGGTTGTTGTTGGGGCACTAATTTTTCGTATTTATATAGATCAATATTTCTCATGAAGTATTTCGTTTTTGATATTATACCATTCACTAATACTTTACTTACGTGTTTTCCATTTATTTTATAATTTGAATTTCATTAATATTGGATGCTATGGCACCAGCATAATAATATACTCAAGGGAGGTCGATTTAGTAAGGGTAAAATAGGACAGCCAATGTATTCCCCGTTATACCCCAAATGGTGCCCCTGAACAGCAATGGTTCGGAATGGAACACTAGGCGTATATTGTGGAATACTAATATTCGCATGTAATACACTATACTAGTGCTATAACCGTACAATATACCTAATGTCTGAAGGTACTCTCGGTCGGGTCCCGAGATGGCGTAATTGATATTGTTATAATATCATTATCCGTTACTGTGTTCACATCAAAGTATTGGCGAAAAAAATACAAAAATTGAAGGTCCGACAAACGCGGTCAGTATGAAACCTAATCACCACAGCGTCTTTTGCGATTTTCGCTCAGAGCTCTCGAATATCAACCTCTTCGACCGGTTGACGAACATTGATAAATCCTTGTGCCTTGTCCATGTTCTAAAAACTCCAGGGACATTTGGATTTCATTTTTATCTATCCCTATATTGTATTAGTATTGTAGTACGACTTGGCAGAAAACCGTTCGATCATCGACATCGAAATACGCCCGACGATATCTCCTTTATAGCAACGACTGCCGGTCGACCGCAATACGCGATCTGAGCGGCTGGTCGCTTGCACATTATTTTTATTGTTATTTATTATTATTATTATTATTATTATTATTTATAAGTTATAACGTTTCGTACAATGCAATATTACACCGTACTCGCTCTATTATACGTTATTACGCGTGCATTGTGTCCTTGCCCACCCCCCGTTTGAGTATTATTATTATACGTGAACTGCAGAAACGGAGCCGCTGCCGCCCGCCGCAAGTGGTCTGCCCTCACCCCGCTCTCCCCCGTGTATAATATATACGTAATATGCTCGCCCGACGGCGCGAAAGCTCTCAATAGTAACGAACGGCCATTGTGTGCCACCGGGAACATTAAATATAATGCATATATATATATACAAATGTGTGGGTGTGTGTGGGTGAATGGGTGTGTATTACATCCGCCACCGCCGTCGTCGGATAAGTATATAAACTCGGTGTTAATACGGTTCTAACGGGTTTTCTTTTTCTTCACATCGCGTCCCGCCCTCGAACACGCCGGGGTGACGCGATCCGGAAAATCTTAATTCCCACGTTTCCCCGTTTCGTATCGACACACTATTTGCCCGCGGACGCGTGAGCATAGAGATTTTTATGTTGACGCGATCGACTGCAGTGATTTTCTGGATGATGAATTTTTACGAGATTCTTCTGGTATATTTTTCAAGTTTTTTACACGAATACATACTTTTTTTATAACAAAATCCATTTTGGATTTCATACCCTTATTATAGCAGACTGTTTTTCTGGGAATTCAAAAATGAAGTAGCTATAATGTAGTTAATTACGTATTCATGAGTGTTTATACAATTTAAATGTACGTACCACGCTTCATTCACTATGGGAGCTACATTTATAAATAAAAAATAATATTTTCTTTTACGTAAATGATTTTATACCTATGCAGTCGATTTATATCAAATGATTAATAATAATAACTATAGATATTATTCTCTTTATGGCTGTACCTATAATAATTATAATAATATCAAGAAATTAACTCCCTAATTTGTTGAAATACTTAACATTTTGATAGGTATATTGATTTTTTGAAAGTCTTAAATGTTTATAATTGGCACTTCAATAAATGTATATTTAAAACGATGTATAATTGTAGTATCCTATTTTATATTATTTAGGTACTATAGTAAGATACTTGATAATCCATTTAAAATATAATGTTCACAAATTATTAAAAAAACGGGGTGGTGGGGAGTCAAAATAGTAAGGTGGACATTCATTTAATTTAAATGTTTAACGAAATATTTCAAGTAGAATAGCTTGATCATATGTAAGCATTTGAGTATCTCGAATCGAACCTATCCCTATATGTAGTGTCATTATTTATTATGCATAATATGCTTCTAGCTTTAAAAACAAAAAGCTATCCTGTATAGTACATACGTCTCATGATTTATGAGTTAGGTATACTTGCTACAGTCCCAAAGTTTGTCATATTTGTAAACGTATAATATATTATATAATGCATATACCTACCTACCTCTTACAGAATTTCTCGGAAGTGCCTCTAGGCTACAAATGTTCATTTTGATACATAATATTAAATATAATAATATACGAGTATATTATTTTAACCTTTGAGAAATCATACCTGATTAAAAAGTATTCTTAGAAGGTGGAGAGGAATTTACAGTGAATGTATTCATTCACATTAGAAATGGATCGAACTTAAATTTACAGGAACTGAAACTTGGTTTTTTTTTTTGAACTTTTAAAAATGTTACCTTTACAAATTTTAATTTCCAAAAAGTAAAATTAATTCATCACGTAACCAGATTAATTGGCATTCGATCTATTTCCACTGTTCAAGATGTTCGACTTCGAATTTTCAACTCGATTTTTCTTAAACTCTAAACTGTTTGAAGTAACTCCAAGGTTCAAGAACTCATCCCTATATACTATCACTGTATTTTTAATAAAGTAAATAAAAACGAAATGAATGTCATGATGCGAATGTTATTCCGTATCTATTAATCGGTTCCTTTGTATAATATCCAGGTTTCTATTTTTAAAAATTACATTTATAATAAATCAATCTACCTTCGTATTATTATTGTTTCGAACTTTTTTTTTTTTTTATGTACCTATGTATATGTTATATATTCTACTTATACTTTTCAGTATTTATTACGTTCGCCGCTAAGGTTGTAAATTTGAGTTTAGTACAAGATCACCGGCGGTGTTTGCAGATAACCTTCTATTTGAATATTATATTTATTGCCAATATAAAAGAAAGACAATAATGGATCCATAAACCGTTATTCTAAATCCAACGTTTCCAATAATATATTATGCCTCTGTTGAACTCTGTTGTACTCTATTCAATTTAGAAAATGGAACACCTCAATTGTTTTTATATGTTTTATTTTTAACACGTTAGTTTCTATATAATATATTTATGCCTTCGGGAACACGGTTAATATTTCAGTTTTTCCACCGACTGTACAAACTGAATTATTTATTTATTTGCATTTGTAAGTAATAATACCCAACTGAGTAAATAGAAACTAGTAGCGTTTAGTCTCAGATCGAATTACACATTAATGAATAATGTATATAGACTTTGTGGAAATTGATACCATTACATTGCTGTTAACTCTTGTTATTTCAAGATCAATCAGTCACTCGCCATTTGATGTTTTCGTAATCTAAATATATAATATTCTAATTAATTAATTACCAAATTCCCAGGTAAAAACCGTAAACTTAAATAATCGATTATATGAAACAAAAATAAATAACACTCCAGTATTTATTCATCATTAAAATAGTTGATACCTATTGTACATTTTATACTTCAGAAAATTACAATATCGAGAGAGGTTAATAATAATATATTGCTTTTTAAGTTGTATTATCACACTACAGCATTACATCAGAAAGTGGTTCTATTTACATATTTTATATAATAAAAGTTAGATTTATTTTGTATTTAAAATTATTCAGCTTTTGTAAAACGTTTAATTAAATTTAAATATTCATAATATGATTTAAAAATGATTTAAAAATGATGTTTATAGATTAATATTTTAATTCCAAGACTCTATTAACGATTGCTGGTATACAGCTTTATAATAACTGTCTAATCATACAGATTTTACAAGGGAATAACAATTTGATAATGTTGAATTGTGTTGAATTGTGTTTTTAATCGTAGGTTTATGAAACTTTTTACTTACAAGGAAACAACAATTATAATATTATATTATTATAATCCACTTGTAAAATAAAAAGTTTAGTTTCAAGGAAAAAATATTAAAATGTCTTAATTTATTTGTTATGCTATAATGAACTTGATGAAACTACGGGTTTTACCTTATTCTGTACACAGTATAGTATCAAGATAAATGTTTTAATTTCGTGAAAGCATCGTACGTTAGGGTGCATGTGTACATAAATAATAATATGCAAACAATATTCAATGTGTATCTATGTGATTTACGGAATTGTTTTTTTTCTCAACACGACATATATTTTTCTGCCCTTTCAGGTGTTTAGTATGGCGTTGATTTACGTCAGCTTGGACGGGGACAAATGGCAAGAATGGCCGATAAAGTTTAGCACAAAGTCGGAGGCCATTAAGGACACCGCTGTAAACATAACCATCAATCTGAAGAGCAGGGTGGGCCGGTATATCAAGATATGTCTCTATTTTTCTGCTCGATGGATACTCATCAGCGAGGTCTCGTTTGAGTCCGGTAAGTAATTTTCGAGACGCACTCGGGTAATATATCGTAATAATTCTTTTCGTATTACACCTAGCTCAGGATAGCATTTCGGGAAAAAATTTAAAGAGTATCGTAAAAGTTAAAATTTTGGGGTTCTCGCCTCTCGGTTTACAAAGTCTTAAATAAAAAAAAATGTCTAAACATCTTTTTTACATGTAAGTATGTCGTATGTTTTAAAAAATATATAACCAAAGTGAAATGTATTCAGGTTTACTCTGTATTATATTCACGTTGAACAAGGATGACATAAATAGCCATATGTTGATCTAGCTAATCAATAAACCAACTTGCACTCTATCCTCATTCGAAAGCGTATTAAGTCCACTTGTCATTTTAACCACCGGCCACATAAATCACTAGCGTTTGTGAACTTGGTACGGTTACTGAATAGACAAAAACTATAATTCACCATAACTTAGTATAGTTTATGCTCCTACAAACTTACTTACGTTTATCAGCCAGACACGTTATATCTGCACAAGTATCTACTACAAGTCTGTGTATTATTATTATAATTTATAAGCCATCTAATTCCAAGTTGTCACTAAATAAACAAGATAATTATATTATGGTTAATGTCTTGATGAAGTGCATGTTTTCTTATCAAGAAATATCAAATTTTTTTTTGTATATCATAGGCTTTCACGATGTCACGTATGGACAACAATTTAGGACTTTCGAATTATCAACGTACGTCTTATAAATACAGGATATAGGAAATTCGTGACGATCTTAATACTACCGCATTTTCCAAGCTACTGAAGAAAAAACCTTTAACCCCTAATTTTGTTTTTTACGATTTGTGGTTTCAACTGCCACGAAACTTGAATGATTATTTTGATAAATACCATGCATATTATAGTACTTAGGATGTTTATTGTTTATAACTATAGGTTTGATAAATTATGGTTTATTAAATTGTTAGGGACTGGCCCATTTTGTTTAATTTATATTCAACTTTTCGAGATGTTTCACATACCGGTAGGCAGTTTATCTCGTTTAATAAATGTCCGACAACAGAAGTAATACGAACGGAAATTATTCGGTTATAACAGAAAACAACGATCAATGTATTTGAGTACATGACCAATGCCATTTTATCCTCGACTTCACATTCACACTGAAGTGGTACGTGACTGTCCGTGTTGGTTTTTGTTTTCCATTTCATTATAATAGACGATTCATGTAAAATCAAACCCACGGCCTTGCATGTTTACAAGTTGAAAAAAAGACGTTTATAATCGATCCTTGACGACAAAACTCGGTCCTTTTTAAACTGGCATTTTGGCCGTAGATGGACTTGAACATACGTCTACACACCCAGCCGTAGTAACAAGAATTGTTTTTCCGACGTACGACATGCATTGGAAAATAGAATGAGGGAAAAAAAATATCAAAACGCAGGACGGTCTATTATTATAATATATATTCACCACCCTCCGAGTATGTTTATATGCGTGTGGAAACGTGGTCGTATATATATTGGTACGATTTAAATTTCCGGTCGGTCGCTATCGGTAAACGCTGAGAGATATTATTATACGCGATATACAGCATACGAAGGAGCTTCTCTCGGTGCACGTCACACATCAACGACGACATGAGGATAACAATCCGCATTTTTCTCTCGCAATAACATCGAGCTCGAGTTACATTTTACTATTATTTCCATACGAGACGTTTCGTCGGCACAATACACCGCCACCGTGTGTGTTCCTATAGAACTCCCATGGTAAAAATAAATAAATCGAAAACGTTTTCGCCATATATTATAATAATACGCGCATATCCTTATGTGTGTGTGTGTATAAATATACTATTATCTATTCTCCGATAATCATTGAAACCAACTCCCGCCCGCACGTCCAGATGAAAAATATGAATTAGTGTAGCAAAGAATATTGCAAAATAGTAGTTTTTATACGAAATCTATCGAAGTGATGATATCATACACGAATTCTACACAATACGACTGTTATTTTTGTTAGCTGAAGTATTATGACTAGTGTGAAATTATATTTAACTGTATAGAATTACGCACCCGAGAAATAAATAGTATTCACATACACACACACACTCACGGTTCTCGTATGGTTGTTTGAAATACATAATTCCCTAAAACAAAAACGTAATATAAAAGGTGTACAGACGGATTCATATGCAATATTTTTACTACAGTAAAACGTTATTCAAAATGAACTTTTATAATACACGAATGCGTCAAGACACAAAAGCCCATCAAATCCTTCAGTGAATAGAAATTCTTCGTGGCCACCGTAGTGTGGTTTTATGTAGCCCTAAAGGAATCCAATTTCAAAGGATTTCCTTGAATCAATGCACATTGAATAACGTACGAGTAAAATGATAAGTCTGTCTCGGTCGTCGCAAATCGTGGTTTATGCACTACGGAATAAAAAAACCATGATCAAAATGTCTAAATTTTAATCATCTCATCAATTTCGTTACATATGAGAATAATTATATTATTTGACTTTTTTTCCTTAATTTAAAACGTCGTCACTAATTAACGCGCTAGCGACACTAATCGGTATTAAAACGCGTATCTGTCGTTTCCATAATAACGACAATAGTGTATCGTTACGGTTGACCTGTCACCTCTGGTTATGAAATTTTTTCACGTGTGATGCCAATCATAAATCGGTGAGATTAATCGTCTGTGGTTAACCACAACCCATAGTTCTCTGATACCCCGTCTCATTTGGTTGTACCTGGTATAAAAGCAGGTTAGGTTAGAATGGCCCTGTAGGGTGATGAAAGGTCACAATGTGTTGCATACCTACGTTTTGCATAATTCGTTTAAAACAGAATTACCACTCACTCTAGGAACCTTACGAACGACTTACTGTTTTCTTAGCACAAATACTGCCTATGCATACAATTTTATCCATCCCGGTCGCTTTTCTATCATCAGAATTCCGTGTGTATAGTTAAAATACTTATGAAAAACTATAAGGCGAACAAAGTTACTTAAGTTACTATTTTGGTAAAAGTTTAGGTATAGTGGATGTATTGCATTATTATTAATTATCAAGGACGTATATTTTTGAATGCTTAAATACTACAGCTTAAAATAATTCTCCATAACATATTTTATAACAATATATTATACCAATCTGCTTAACTACAGAAGTTAAGGACAACTATACTCATGACTAGGTATTTAATATATTATTATACACGTGTAACTTGACAAACTTTAACAAATTTACCAATTGGTTCGGTTACTATTAGTTATAATACAAAATTAAATCCTTATTGGTAGGATATAATACGAGTACAATAATATTATGGTTACGAAAGTTAAGACAATATTTTGACATTTATTAATTCATGTATATCTCAATATGGTGAAGTAGTCTAAGATTGGGTTGTTCAACATTCAGCATAACTACCCTAACTTTCTCTGTATTATTCTTATACTCTTGTGACAAATTGTAATGCTTTTGTCCTAGTTTAGTACAGAGCACTATATCAGAAAAAGTAATAATTTCAAGTGTACACGATAAATTATTGTACTCACAGAGGAGCAGCTTAACATCCGTGCATACAGAGCAACCTATGATTTAATAACTACTACCATTACTTTAATATTTTGATGGGTGATATCATTTGATGGGAACAAATGTATAATATAAATATTATATGTTTCAATGTTATTAGTTTTTCGTCTGGCCATAAATCAATTGTTTATTATCTTTGTGTCCCGGTAAAACATATGGAATTCATTCGATACCATGATAAAAATAATGGTCAATCATTTTAAATTCCATTTATAATTTTCAACTGTCTGTATTCTGTAAAGTATATTTAATGGTATATTGGTATCTGTTAATAGTTTTATTCTAAAAACGAGACTGCAACTTATATTACAAACTTTGCGTTTATCAGTCATATTAACTATATATATAATATAATATATCAGGAAACATTCGATGGACAAAAACATCATCAATATTGACCATTGGCATTTACGGAATTGAACAAAAACGTTTTCCGACGTAAAAAAAAAGTTGTAGAGTCTGAAAACTTTTCACTCACCTCTATTTACGTCCCTTGTGTTTCCGTTGTACAGTAACTGAAACATTTGGCGTTAATTAAGACATCCATTAGTCAATACCGCTCCTACGTGGGACTAAAACTTTTTTCTTCTTATTATTATTATTTTTTTTTATCCACACAGCATAACTTGAAATTTATGTTTCGAGACCAGGTGCGTTTGTGTTTCGTGTGCAAATAACAGGCGTGCTTTTAAGCCCCCCGAGCTCTCCTTTAATGAGTACATTCCATTAAAACATGAATTCTCGTCCTTTCGAACAATGACCATGGGCAACCCGACATTAAAATTTACCGTGGTTCGGGGCAGTCTAATTGCGAAACCGTAATATATGTAAATACTAGACTAGACGTCGAGGGCATAGTCCATATACCTGCTGCACCTCATATATATACGTATCCATTAACCGCCAGTTATGGATACGGGAAACAGTGTTACCGTTGATGAAAATATGTTAAGTACAAACGTTTACGGTGTTATTGGAAATTTACAGAATTGGTCGCTGCGAACATAACCGAAGGATTGTTATCGCAGTTCTACACTCAAAAGGAAACTGGATACGAACTTCGCCAGAGCGGCGATACGACACACGCGAGGAAGGAAGTTACTACAGGTAAACCATTCAAACTTAACAATAACACGGTTAATATTCATGTACGCTTTTATCTACATTATATTATATGCTTGACGCTACATTATCACGTGTTATACGTTTCCGGTGACTGTATACGATAGCCCGAGGCGTGTACGATTTGGGTTAAGAAGTTCGAAGGGGTGATGTACCTATATGTTGGTAGGTTTCGGTCGAGAAAACTGATTAACTGATCACTAAAGTATATAAGTATTGCATATGAAGTTTAAAATATCAGTATACATTTATTGAATTCTTCATTAGACCCTAAAGGATTAAGATGATATTATATTATTACTGATAAAATGATTACAAGCTGGAGACAGCGAAAATTGATATCAGAATTCGATATAATGTTTCATGATAAAAATAATTTGTTTCGCTTTACTTCTATTGATTATATATAACATATTTTGTCATTATAATATTGTGTTATTTATTCATTGTATAGGTATTGACAGATTCAATAAATATGTATTTACCTTACTAACCTTTGACCACAAAGAACGTCGGATAATTGACTTTTGGAACCATTTTATATATTATCTTTAATCTGGAATAAGCATCAACTTGCATCATGTTATTTATCTGCTTATACGTATTTTTTCATAACGAGTTTTTTATGAAAACATTTCTGATTATATGTAGATGCCGTTAACAAAATCATATTAAGTGTCAATGATATAATTAATAATTTTCTGAATTCTTCTACTATACACTGATTCCTAAATGTATACAATTTAACGGGTTTACTATCAATTTGAACAAACAAATACATATATACCTACGCATAATAAATTGTCTTTGATTTACTTGTTAAAACTAATAATCTTGCAATTCAAATTTCCATTCGACTTAAAAATCTCGTTTTCTCTATCTTTAGCCACAACTAATTTTATAGTTGGATAAACTTCTATTTGCTCGAAAAATAGTTAAGTGGTAAATTATCACTTTGAACAGTTAAATAATTTTATTTCGGAGAACATAATTGCCAGACGACACTCTGCTGGCCAATAATACACTGCTCTGAGCACAAATAACGTCGTTGTTAAATAACATGTTATCTCTTGTACCATCACTAAAATAATCTTAAATTTCTAAGATTATCATCAATTTCTAATCACCCTTCTACTCATAGTACAATGATCAAAATATCATAATATATGATATCTGTATTCACATTGAAGCAAGATCAAAAACAATCAGTAGAGTTATTTGAACAATATTAATCTCAAAATTAAACCAACAATAATTGTGTTCTATATGGTGCTTTACAGTTTATAGTTTATTCAATAATAACCACATATTGCAAACGGTTTTTGAAAATAATGTTACTATTTATGTAATATAATTACATACTGCACTATCAAACTGCAGAGCCGAAAGTATTAACGACTTTAATCAATATCTCCCTAATGGCCTAATAGGTAATATATACTTGATACTTTACTAATTGAGGTGTTTCTATGCAAAACGTGTTATCTCCATTTTTAATAAAATCGAGTTATACATCGATTCTTATGGAAAAAATGGCGAGAAATCGATTAAAACCGTTATTTTTTGTCAAAACGTACTATTTCCCAGCTGAAATCATTGTGTATTGTAAGGGTATGTCAACAGTTTTAGTTACAGGAATATCTACAACAGCTGATATTTTATCTTTATTTTTTTTATTTATGTCTCCCTGCAGGTATATTAACTTATTGGTTATTGGACTAATTAAATAATATTTCTGGCACAGTTAACACATTAATTATAGTGATACATTCCAAAAGTTTCATTTATTTTTTTTTTATTGAAGAACAGATTAGACCCTATAACTTATAATAATTCAAATTTTCAAAATTAAGATTCTGATGTTAAAATACGTACCTAATAGCGATAGGTACGTGGTCGTGATACTTATGAATTATACAGTCAACTAAACATTGTTCCTCTATTTTTAATTTATCTTTTTAATGTAGTTCGATGTTTTTATACCATAATCATCATTTTAGTATGCTATATTCGAATTTACTGTTCTAGAATGTGGTTAACTCACCGGATATTTCTAATAAAACAATATGATAAAAATATTCCAGTACTAAATCACCAATAAAAAATTGGCAGTGTCCTAGACAACTGATATTATACTGCTGCTGTATTTGATAATAGACATAATTAATTTTCTAGCCACCTCTATTGAAGCATGCCCAGTATATTATGTCAGTAGAACATGTTAAAGTATTCATATTTTTAGTTTAATTTATCATAAATATTAACTCATCAACTATTAATCAACACAAACACATTCAAAGTATTTTTATTACCAATATTGAAATGAGTTTTGTGAAGTTATTTTTACAAATACTAAGTATAATATTATGTATGGAAGAAACTTTATTCTAGGAACCAATTAAAATAATTTAATACTTACCTTCTGGAGTTCGAGCCATTACTATTTCTAAGATATTTTTTACTCAATTTTCAGAACCATGCATTTATTATGGCACCTGCTTGATGTTTTTGTGGTTCATATATTTGATTTTATACGTTGCATCCTTGCAGTTGATATTCTCATAACACATTCCTGATCAATGGTCGTATTATTTATTATACATAGTACATTGTTTTTATATAACTGTGTGACTTTGTATACACAATTGTGTTTTGCGGATTTTGTAATTGTTTGTTTTATGCTCATAAAATACAGAACCTGTTACACCTCATTTTAAGTGGTCGTCGGTCGAAAATGCACTAATATTATGACTTCTTATTTCACTTATGTCTAATTTATTATCTTTGTAGGCATTCGATATACTCGTAGAAGATTCATTATGTCAAATTTTCTATGTGTGTAGCTTGTGAATTTATCTTTTACTGCTATGCATGTTATGGTGTGTATGGTCTACTGTAAATTTACTGTAATATCAATTAACTCGTCAAGTTGAGAATAATATTTTAGCCACTTAATTTATTATACTGAAGAGATTAACGAGGTTTAGTTGAGAAATAATAAAGGGACTTAAGGCGTTCGGAGGAGGGCGTAATCCCTCTAAAGACTCTCTCCCCCCCTCCAATGTATGTCAATGTTAAAGTCCGTGATGCAATCACATCCACATTGTTAGCTTTCATATTGTTAAACTTTTTTCTTAACACCAAGAATGTGTTATCATTCTTTAAGTTTTTCACTGGGTGTAATTTCGGAAATCCTGTATCATTACTCTTAAATATAGCATGTGATTGTATTTTTAAAATGTATATAAACATATTCGGTTACGGCGTAATGGTTCCCAACCTTTTTGGTACTATGGACCACTATGAGAACTTTGGATACGTCACGGACCACCTCAATTGTATACCTTATTTTTCTTACAAATAAGAATCAATTTTTTTTCACATATTTTAGAATTTTGATTATTATTACATGAATATGAGGCTTTTAATAACATGGATTTCACTATGTAATATAAATTTATAAAGAAACGACGTACTATACACGAATGTCAGTAATTAGTGTTATGTCTCAAAGGAAAATTAAATTATTAAAATATTTTTACATTTTGTAAGTATGGCTCACGGACCACTTGACAATGTCTCGCGGACCACTAGTGGTCCACGGACCATAGGTTGGGAACCTATGGGTTACGCCCTGCAAAAAAGGTTTGAAGTTACCGAAACATTACAGACATAAACCACCAGAAATAAAGAGTCGAAATACACGTTTTCAGAATAAAAAAAAATAATGATTGCTAGTAGGTATGCTTTTATGCTTGAGTTTATTCGGGGTTTTCGGACTTCTGCCAAAGCCATGGACTAAACGTATATAATATATATGTATAATATAATATAATATGTGATAATATTATTATCAAAGCTGTTCATCGACGAGCTAATAAGTTAGAAGTTAAATTTAACTTTACTTACTAGTCTGCTGTATTTAATAAATGTACACATTTTCCTCTTTTTTAACTTAAAATCGACTCATTTTTGTTCTTATCTTTGATATCACGTGACGCGAAGACTCGCTTGAAACGAAAAATCAACTTTATATTATAACGATATGTCTGCACGGTAAACCCGTTTTTCGCAGGACCCAGTCCGGGCAACAGCACTCAGACGTACGTGGGCCTGGTCACAGGATCGTTGGCCATGACGGTGCTGCTGGTGGCCGGCGTGGCCGTCGGGCTGGCGCTGAAACGTGGCCGGCAGAAAGTCGCGCTGCTTCAGTTCAAGCAGGCCACTCTCGGGGCTCCCAAACAGCAGTCCATCAACATGAAGCACCTGAAAAACGGGTCCAAGACCACCGTCGGGTCGTCGTCGCTGTACGGCCGGAGCGGAGCCATGTTGACCGGAGGCATCGGAATCGGCATCGGCGTCGGTGGAGGCGGAATCGGCGGCGGGCGAGTCGGTGGTCACGTTGGACACGAGTCCGAGGACAGCGACAACTCGTCCGTTTACCACGAGCCGTACAAGCGGTTACCGTCCGGCAAGAATCACGATTACGCGCCGACCACGTTCCTGTTCAAGAAAGACGTGTCGGCGTTGACCACAAGCAAAAGCAGCGAATACACGGGTAAGTCCGACGCGCACCCACCCTCGACACCCACATCACCCAGTGGCTTTCACGGCGAGTCCTTAGACAATATTATTTTATACAACAGAAAAATAATAATAAGTACACTACATTACGATTGGCTTACCACCACCGTCGTTTGTAGTCGCTGAGGATTTGTCGAATTATTGTTTTTATTATATTGTTATTGAGTATAGCTTAAGATTAGACGAAAAGTGGTAACTTTTAAGATGTGCCTGCCTTAAAAGAACTATAATTTGTCAGTGGCCCGTGCACGTTCATCCTAACCTTGAAAAATAATTTAACGTCGAGTTAAAACCATAGTTTTGAATATTCGCACTTGTGGATTTAATTAAAAAATAATTGAATACCTTTTTGTTTGTTTCATCACAATTATATGGCTGTCAATAAAATGATTTATTAACTTTTTAGTAGATACAAACATGAGTTTTCGGCCTCACCACTAAATGTGTCTACAAAAATAGTAAGATGTATTTTAACGAAATAGTTGATTATATAAGATTGAAAAGAGGTTGGTCATTTTTTTTAACTGTGTTAAAGTTATTATTTTTCTTCATAATAACTTTGATATTTTACTGTTAAATATACTAATTTTGTTTGTAACTTATTTATAACCTTACCTATAATGATCTAAATGTTGACTTAAGTTAACTAACTTGAGTTAGTTGTTTAATTAAGTTACCAAACTTTGGTTATTATAGGTCGTAGGTAGTAGATACCTATATCATATTATTCTGAATGCTTACATAATCGATTTATCATTCTCTTCTAATCAATTGCGTCACTTCGTGAGAAATGTTGAGAATACATTTTACACTTCAGATGTTCCTTTTAACTTGTTATATTTTGAGCCTCCGTCGTAATAATCGAACGATTGCGATCTCTGCTGCTGTACGATCGATAAACTGACCTTCGCTATAATTGTTGTATTCGTGTAGACTTCACGAGCGTAGGCAGTTTCGGGCAGGACGACGTCAAATACTCATCGCCTTCGATGTACACGCTAAACCCGCCACCACCGCCTAGCACCAGACCGCCACCGCTCTTGCAGCAGCAATCCGAACAGCTGAACAAATCGCTTCCGGCCAATCTGCACAACTACTACGCGGCCATCGACATAATCAAGGTGAGTTTCGATGTCCGCCGATAGACCCGAGTAATCCACCGCCGGACGGTATTCACGGTTCTCATTTACTTTTTTCTCTTCCGGTTTTTGCAGACGGAGCGCAAGGAGCAGCATTTCACGCCAGGTGTGTTCACGTGCATGAAGCTGCCGGAAGACAAACAGGACGAGTGCAGTCAGACGTCGCTGTACGAGATATCTCGGAACCGACTGCGAGTGATCGAAAAACTAGGCGAAGGCAATTTTGGAATGGTGAGTGTACGCGACCGCACCTCCACCCACCTCCTACACTACCCACTAACCCCGTGAACCCATCACACACACGGCGCAGGGTGACTTCCCGAACGCGCGAAACGTGATTGGAATGTACGATGATATTTAATAAACAACTGTCAATTCCATATTATATAGATCCACTTATGCGAAACGGACGGGATACCCGAGTACAATGCCACGTCGACGTTCCACAAAAGACAAGTGATCGTCAAATCGCTTCGGCGTGGCTGTGGCGAACAAAACAAGTGAGTGGAATAATAAAAAAATATATATATTTATATACATCACTACAATTTTTGCTTTATGTCCGTAGTTTCTTTTCCTCTTTTTTTTTGTACACTCTAGACCTGAGTCTTGTATTATTATTTTTACTATTATTATTATTATTATGAGGACGCGCGAGAATCGAAAATCAATTTTCCGCCTTAAACGCCACGCTTCGGAAAACGTGTCCTATTTACAATTTCTTTCGCGCGCGCCATCATCGTAATAACACGAAAAAAAATGTTATTTTATTTGTCATTTGACTACGTACCTCTGATACAAAAATGACTGACATGACAATAACGATATTTCGATTTTGGTTGACAATACCCATTTTGTACGTCAACGATTCGATTTGTACTAAATGTTATGTTCATTGCATAGATAGATAAAAAATAAATTTACAAAATATAACCACTGTTAAATCGTATACGAGTGAACCTAAAAGAGTACGACTCTAATCAATATATTGTGCTATTCTGTGTATTTATCTACAGACAAGACGTGATGAGGGAGACAAAGTGCTTGTACACGGTCCGGGATCCAAATTTGGCACGAATTGTGGGCGTTTGTAGTCCCGACGAGCCTCTGTGCATCATACAGGAATATTGCGAATACGGTGACTTGCCTAGTTTCTTGAAAGTCCAAACTACGGAATCTACGGAAGCTCATCCTACAATCAAGTAAGGATATTATTGATACACTATTTGTATTCACCCCCCTTGTAAAAAGTGCAATATATGATATAAGTCCATCAACTAGAAATCGTTTTTTTTTAAACAGTGTTATAAATTCTTTTATGTTGAGTGTGCACTACCACATTGGGTATATGGTGGTGCAATTAATGTTATCTTACTGTACCGCCAGAAATTTTAAAATAGACATATTGTAAAATGATATAATATATTCTATACTCATAAAGTGAATTATCTTAATAGTAGTGGTTTTAACATGAATATAATATAATTTACCAGCATAACAATAATTTAAAAAATAGTTAAGTTACCTAGTTAAAAATATTTCAACCCTTTAAAAATGCAACTAAATAATATATGGACCATTATGTCATTTTTGAGTTTATGTATTTGTCACACAATCCATCGAAAGAGTATGTATAGAGACTTCGTATGGACTAGGTAACGATTTTACCATCGACTGGTATGTTTATATGGACAATGTACCATAAGTTGTACCATACATTTTCTTGTGTATTATATATAAAAAGTGTTAAACTAAAATATTAAATTATTTTTATCTTATACCATTATACAAATTGTTCTTGTTTAGATTATATCACGTGTAAAAATGATTATACAAACATTCTTCTTTGTCACTACAATTTAAGACCAATTTATTTACGCCACTGGTTTTAAACGATCCTCAAATATTATAATGTATATTGTTTTTACATACGGGTGATCGCTAAAATAATGTTATCTGTACGATGTATAAAACATAAAAGATTGTGTTAATAATGATATACTCGTACGTTAAATCATTTGTTTGATTTCGGTTTTTTTTTTTTATTTCTCGCAGTTACGGATGCTTGCTATACTTCGCCACACAGATCGCATCGGGCATGAAACATTTAGAGGGTAAGGGGATCGTTCACAGGGACTTGGCCGCGAGGAATTGCTTGGTGGGCAAAAACTATTCGCTAAAGATATCCGATCACGCATTGTACTGCAGTCAGTACGACTCGGATTATTACGTTAGTGACACTAAGTCGAGATTGCCGATCAGATGGATGTCGTGGGAGAGCCTGCTTCTGGTAAGTCAATTATTATTTATATTTTTTATTTCCAATCGGAACCTTAAAACATGAATGAATAAAATCATCCCCGTAATAAAATTGAAGATATATTTTTAGTGGTATCTAGTATCTACGCGTTCAATTGATTTATGGCTGCCGAGTGCTAGTGTATGAAACAATAAAACATCATAATAAAATAACCGAGATTCTACGATAATATAATCTAGGTACAACCCTTTCCACTCGTAACCCGTCATTTCGAATTCACTTTGCTCACTGATTACTCTACCGTATTTGCATGTAAGCCGACCCACATGAACCTTATTTTTGACTTGTGAAATCCTCGGTCCAGACAAACTTCTTAAGTACACACTGACGTATACTGGCAAACATTGTATATACGTATGTCGTAAATAATTTAAATGACTATGTATTCAACAGAATGTAAATCATATGCACAAAAAATCCATGCAGTACACGAGGACGTAGTACATAATATATATTATACGAGCGGCCTTAATTATTTTGCTTCTTTATTTAATAAACGTCGAGTGCGCTTGGTAATTATTTCAAAGTCTGTATAATATTAAGTACCGAAAATGTTTAAGTGCGATGATGCAAAATACAACTTTTAAAATATTTCCCGTAATAATAACCGAATATTTGATAGAAAAATTACTACAATGTGCACATCGTACACTACAGTTTTAATTAAACGTTAATTAGATTTGTATTGATCTTATATTTTAATTGCTAACAAACTTATCTACCTATATTCGTCTCGGCAACAATTATTATTTCTTCGTAAACAAATGCATCTTACTGAGTAAAATATTAAAACAAATAAATATTATAAACAAACTGGCGATCGATAAAATGAACCAGAAACTCGTATACATCGTATACTTGTGATATATGATTGATGTCAAGTATGAACAAAACCTTTTTAATTCTGTAGCGTACTATATTTTTATGTGAATTTTCCTTGAAAAGTGTAAAAGCTCTTATTTTGAGTTTGGGGATTAGGATTTTTTTTCGTTAGAGTAATAAGTATTGTGAACGAGGAATGTGTATAGATTGGGATAGTATACATTTCTGCCACGTTTAAATTAAAGTTTTTATTGTTCGCAGTATATAATATTTCTTTAAAATTATTTCGTACTATTGTAATTTTGGTATATTTATCGAGTGAGTACTCACTACTCAAGTTGTCTGTAATGCATAACAGTCCAGACGCAACCACCATCCAATAAACTTTAATATCATACACTAACAATTAAGTTGATCGAATCATTTCAAAATATGTTTTTGATAATTATTTTGGATTTAAATATATGTTGAACACTGTTAGTAGGTCGTTTTTTATTATTTTGTTTTTGAGTCCACCGACATAATGTCTTCAGTGTATGTAATGGACTCAAACCATTATTTTTAAATGGATAATATTTTAAACATGCGCGTTTCCCTGCACTTAAAGATTAAAACTCAAAGTTTCTAGTTATAACAGATATTTGGAATTTTCGTGCAATAAGAGTAACAAAAGGCAGCCATGTGAATTTGTTGTGGTATACGCGTGGTTACAGAAATGGAATTTATAGCCATTATTTTTGTTTTTAATTACTGCCATTTTTTTTTTGTCACTAATTATAATTTAAAATCTGTATAATAAAAACAACATTTTTTGATTAATTACAGCATTTTATTCTTGTTATGGTAATCAGTATTTCTGGGATTAACATGTAGGTACTAAAAACATGGATTGAAAAAAACTGAAATTCATAAACATTGTTTTTTTAAACAATACTCACAAAGGATTTAGTAAAAATTATTATTTTTTATATTTTTAGTATGGTAATTTATTTTTATCGACATTTTCTAGACGAACAAATATTGAAAATATTTGAAGAAATTCAAATAATAAATTAATTTTTATGCTATAAATATTTTGGTCGATTATTTTTTACAAGACTTTATTAACTAATAGATAATTCCAATCGAAACATGCATCATCTAAAGATTTATCACGTTCTTCTTTCACGGTTTACCATATTCGTAATTGCTGATAGACACGATAAACGTACACGACGACATTTCTAGGTATTATAGGTACCTATCATAATATTTATTACGAAATATAACAATAACAAAAGTAATTATACCTAAGTAACCATGTAGAAATTGCCTTTTTTATAATACAAAACAAAAATATAATAACAACTGTGTATCCTGAAATTATATCTGAAAAATAAATTAAAACAAAACAAAAACCACTATCCGCCTTTCATACGATGAACATAATTAAGAATGGGTCAAACTTTAATTTCTCGAATTGTTTGAGATCAAACTCGAACTCGAATCCATTTGTTACTTGAACACTTTGAACTTTTTAACTTTAAATTAATTGAATTGATATATTTTAATTTTGAACTGATAATAGTTGTTCGGGTAATAAGGGAAATAAAAATAATATTATATGGTACCTACGGCTATTTATAATTTTTAAAAGTATCGTCATCAAACTTGATTCTAGAATCATTCGATACATTTGTGCCCAAAGTAATACATTTTGAGTAGACATTTTCAACGAACCCCAAATAACTGTATGGTGCTCACAAAGTTCGGGTTTTTGTACGAGTTCGACAAGTTCGAGGACCTATCCTTAAACACAACGACTGACCTTGAAGCTACGGCATAATAATGTTATCGATTAATCATGGCGTACACCTTAATAATACCATAGCGTTACCTATAATAATAATTATTGTTTAACGGCCACGGACGCGTTTGTGCTCGCAGGGAAAGTACACGTCGAAAAGTGACGTCTGGTCATTCGCAGTAACCCTGTGGGAGATACTCATGTTCTGCAGCCACCAGCCGCTGGCGGAGCTGACCAACGAACAGGTGGTGGAGAATGCCAACCACATGTACCTGGCCAACGGCAAGCACAGGTACGCGGAACCACCGCCCAGCTGCCCGCGAGAAATGTACGAGATCATGGCCGAGTGCTGGAAGCGCGGCGACTCGGACCGGCCGAAGTTCTCGGAGATCCACCTGTTCCTGCAGCGCAAGAACCTCGGGTACATACCGGTGATATGAACGGACACTACAACGCTTCCACGACCACCCACACTGCTACTCACCCACATCGCCCAAGACCTCGACTAGCGCGGTAGGTACATTGTAATAATAACAATATTATATTATTATCGCGATAACGGTGATGACGATGTCGCGTCACGCTATTTTGAATATTCGGGTAGGTACATTTTCCCTGACCCTCTTCCCACCCCTAACAGGTGGAAATTGTCCGAACGACCTCCGTGTGCCCCACGATGTTCGTGTAATGTGCATATATCGCTGCGTATACCGATCGCATATCCTGCACCCTTCCACTGCTGATCCAGAAAATATATACCTATGTTATACATATATAATAATTACTGTTCATTGTTTTTTCCTACTATCGTCCGTTAAGAATGTTGCCCATTAAACGCGTGTGGACGCCCAACAAATATGTTGTCTTCTCAAATCCGTGGTAATGATAATGATTATTATTATTATTATTATTAATATTATTATTGTAACTATTAGTATTATATCATTATAATTATTGTTATGATTTATAAGACTGTATAGTGTATACTTATTGTAATCAAATAATTGTACCTGTAATGTCAACATAATAGTCTCCAGCATCGAAACTTCATATACCTACCAGCTATTATATACAATAGAATAACTGCACATTACTATTTAGCACCAAATACCTATTACGGTCTCCTGTCAAAAATAAAAAACGGACAAAATCCAAACCTAAATATTCAGTCAATTCTTACATCTCCGTTCTGGCCCGAGTTTGGTATCTTCTCGTAATATTTTTACGTCGACCAATATCGTTTTTTAACATCAATAATGTGGTCAGTGGAAAAAATCTCGTGTTTGTTTCCTACGGTACTATAATAATATTATTAAATGTTTGAAATCATTTTCGTCTGTTGAATTTGTCGTACCAGACGACTTTATGGTCTTAACATTGTCATCTGAAGATTTTTGTCGCCTTTAAATCGTTTGACTTAGTTAGAATCCCCGAATATAATAACAATATGTTTTTCGAAAGCCGGACACTACTGCAATATAGTACAATACTATATATAAGAGTATTATGTGCATGCGCGTGTTGTAGGGGATGTTTATTGCTCAAACGCAATGCCAAGATATTTAAAATTTATCGTCATGTGCATCTCGACTTCTAAACTCGGTTTAACGTCATTTCCAGAACTATACAAGTTTATTATACATATTATATTATTGCGTGTGTACTTCAGCTGCCATTACCTTGTACAACCACATTACTGTACGCAGTAATATTTCAAAGGTGTATTCGATTTCACATTTGAACATCATATTTTCTACTCACCACCCGTGGCCAACACTTTCCCACACCGCCGGACGGATGGCATTAATTACGTCTTATTACTTAATGGTCCTTGTTTTTATTGCTAATAAGAACCAAAATATGTAATCAATCTATTTTACACGCAATGTCTTCCACGATTTAACCCTTTAAATGGCGAAGCACTAAACATTTGCCTTGCAAATGATTATGTTTCGGCCCAAAACACACGTGTTGGAAAATATCTATTCCATAATATTACAGTTTTTATTTCATTTTTCCAATATTATGCATTTTTTGTATGTTGTGAATCTGTACATACGATTTTCGATTTTCTTGTACATAATTATATTACATAATATATTATACCTACTTAATGTTGTACGAGATCCAGCGTTAGATCCTAATTTGAAAACTTAAACAATCTTCTTCGATTTATGTACGCTCTCACTTTCACAAACGACGCATGTATATGTATAATTATTAAATTAAATTATTTTTTTTTAGGTCTGGACAAAATAATTTTTATACAAAACTATTTATATTTATTGACTTATAATTGTATAAAACTCAAGTGGATAAGTAGTTAAAATTATAAAATGTTATTTCATAAAACTATCCACGTTATTTCTATTACTTATTATTATTAAAATTTATCATATTATTATGTTTCTTTTAACGGTAATAAATGTAATACTACTTTACATAAACTCACTCCAATGTCTTTCCAAGTAGTTGAAACGGGTGTGACCTCAACTTTAAGTGGCATATCCTGTTCTAAATTAATTTTTAAGGAATTTACGGTTTTTTCTCCAAATTTTTTATTTATTTTTAGCTGCGATGTGTGATTTTCAATCGAATCATCATATTATAATCGCGTCGACCTAAATTTATATTGTACATACATTTTTTTCGTTTTCTCCAACTAAACCTCTTGGATCTTTTTTTATGTTTTGTATTTAATTAATATAATATTATATTAAATTGGTTGAAATAATACTAAAACTATGATTTCAATGTATTAAGCTCAAAAGTGGATTAGCTGAGCTCGTGTAAAATGCAATAAATCGTACTTATATTAAATATAAGCTAATTTAACGTGCAATTTAAAATAAAGTGGTGCCAATATCTGTTATTATTTTAGCTAAACAATCGGTCGAGTATAAACCCATAATATATTTATTTCAAAAGCAATTTATTATTATATTTCAGATTTTTTTGGAAGAGGTGTAAATATACATAATTATATTTTTTGAATTTGCATATCATATATAATATATATATACATATATAGTTTAGTACGCGTTTTTCTCCGAACTTTCCAAAATAGTATGAATTCCTCGGCATTAAACCCCTAATTTTGATTTACGATATAATTTAATTTAGGCCGCGGTCACACGACGGCAAAAATGATAAAATGGCACTTTTCAAAGGGTGGCATGAAATGGTGTGTAAATAATAATACTATTACATGGAGGGTATAATCAATTGCCCACGTTGCTAAGAGACAATCAATCTCTAACACTTTTTGGTCTATAAAATTTTGTAAAAAAAAAAATAAAAAAATTATACATATTTATAATATTTATATATATATATATTAATAATAATAACCAAATCCCAACGCACATTTAATATATGACATTATACCTAACGCTAAAGGAACATAAAACTGTTTCCTTCGACTTCAGTTGTAACCTGTCATCAACAATTAGGAGGAGCTATTCATTTCCTATACAATATAAACTTGCAATAGGTAGTGTAATACTTATATAATACATAATATTACTAATTTATTTGCATTAAGCGTTTTGTAAAAAAAATAGTTTTTAATATTATATATATATATATAAATAAAAATAAATATTATGTTTAAGTATAATATACATTATATTATTATATAAAATAAACTTGAAATTCAAATGTATTTGTATAATGTATTTTCATTGACTATATTGTTGTTTAATTATCTTTAGGAAATATAAATCAGTATTATTAACATTCATCTGTCTTTGAAAAACGAAAAAAAAAATGTTATTTAATAAATATGTATGTATACCTTTATGGGTGAGTTTTTTTTTATTACAACAACCTGGTTTCCCCATCGTTGTCACATAATAATATGGATGAACAACGATCAGTCATCCTTCGTCAAGACACAATACAACGACTTATTCGAGTACACCAATGTGGTATCGAATTCGCAAGGATGAACGGTACGTACTAAAACTTGTGAAAATATATAATATACCTATACATTTTATAATGCTTTCTACATTGTTGGTCACTACTTATGTTGTTCCTTCTACTTTAAAAACGAATATTTTTTCTCTATGAATGACAGTAAGTTAGATTTTTATTCAACGTAAATATATTTTTTTATAAAACCAATTCGAGAATTTAGAAGTGAGCTTATGTGTTTTTCTTTAACTATCATTGAAAAATAATAGTATAATAAGTAAACATAGAATATGGTTTTATGTTTTTTTTTTTAAATCTATTTACATTATTGATATTTATCATTAGGGTGCTTTGAACCTGTTGCATATTTGAGTTTTTTAAAAACAAAAATATCAATATGGCATCCTTCTTTTTTAATCACACGAGTACGTGACTAAAGAGACTTTTTTCCATGACATATACTAAGAATTTAAAAACAAAAATAAATAAATTACAATTTTGTATTGTTGAATTATACAAGATATAATAATTAGTGAATAATAAAATTGTTTAAATAATAATCTTGTTAAAACAATTTCACTATAAAACATTTTGAATGTTAGGAGTTTATGGCATAGTTTATTATAATATAATATATTAAACATATATATTTTGGGATTTACTACAGAAATTGTACTTGCGTGGGCAACCTCCACCTACAATGTTACAAAATTGTATTGTTCAAATTTATTTTATTTTTAAATGCCATGAAAACTCGAATTCAAAAGCTGATAAATATGACTCAACAATTTATAATCACTCTCAAATTAAGCACCCATACCCAATTCCTACTTATAGTTTAAAAATTTTACTGTTAGGTACATTTACTGCAATTATTATTATTATTCACGATCATAATATTACCAAATGATAATACGGTTGTGCTTCGTCCAATCGGATTAATTGTAGACAATCTTTTCAGCTCGAAATGGATTATTTCCGTACGATTGATTTCACACGATTGACAGTGCCATTCGTTTCAGGAACGAAACGATATTTATTGCAAACTCTTTATTAATTTAATTTGACGGATTTTTCCGAAGTTATGGTGGCAGGAACTTTGGTGAGATATACTATGCTGCAATGATATTTCAAGTATAAAATCAGTCCTTTGTGCTCGAAACAAACGGCTGCGGTAATATGCGGCCATAGAAATACCATTATGATCGTTACAAGTACTCATACAAAAGCCTTTTCAGAAAATGAGAAGACAGAATAGTTTATGCTCATAATTTGGTTAGGTTTTTCATAAATTATCCATCACAGTCGTTATTATTTTAGATTATTTGTGGAGAGAAAAATAATTTAGGTAACAATGATGTGTGACTATTCAACATTCTAATTTGTATGTGTAAAGGAAACATTGTTCAGTAAAAAAATACTCAGATCATCAGTATTGGATCTAGTTGGTCATTTAGGCCTTGGGGGGGGGGGGTGAACACAAAAA